ATAACGTCTATGCGTAAGTGATGTGACTCATTTCATGTTTTTTTGCGGTAAATATTTGCATATAGATCGATAAAGCCGATGAATACTGGTAATTATGATGCAATTCTGCGGATTCAGTTTAATTGGAAAAACGTATAAAATTCGCGGAGAACAATGCGTATAGGATGATCTCAATAGTCAACACGTCATATTCAGTGTGCATATAAAAATGGAATTGCTCATATGTGGTGCATACAGTTAATGTTAGTTAATTTTTAACATTGATACAATATTGAAAACATAGTACAGTCTATATTGTGTATCTAATAATTCCAACAAGGCAATCACCTACGTCGCAAATGAGGTTAGGTTCAGGCAGGTGTAGTCGTAGCTGATATGCAAGAAGTACCGGGCGGGGCTGTTAAGCATGGGTGAATGGGCAGGAGCGCAGGCTGTCAACGAGTTAATACCGACCAGCGGTGACCTTGAACACTGTGGTCAGTTAAAAAGTGGTGGGGGTAAATCGAGATTATAAATACCTATGAATCACGCAAATTATCTTGTCAGTTATCTACAGCGAACAGACGTGCTCAGTTCAGATTTAGTCAGCTAGTTAACGTTTTAGTTTTTAAAAAAATGGAAAAAATTCTTCGTCGTTAAGGATTCTATTAAGAAGATTAAAAATTTAATCTATATGGGCGAGAGTGGAATTTAAAATACGACCTATCCCTAAAGACGTCGAGCCTGTGGGATGGATCAAAGACGCTCTGGAGGAAATAGTAGCCAAAGGAACTGAACATCTCCAGCCCAGTGATCAAGTTGGATTCACTTTCTGTTCCAAAGACTTTACCCGCGGTCAAGGGTGGATAGCTTTTAAATCGTTTTCCGACGTTTCAAATGAGGACATATGGGAGAAGATATCTTCCATCTATCAGTCAAATTCTGTGGGGTTGAATACCGAAACTTTTTGCTTGGGAGTTACGTCCATAAGGTTGCCTGCTGGTCGTGGTAGAGGTCAGAATTTCAATACTTTTGATGAGGAATGCGCCAAAAGAAGAGGTATTATCACCGTTAAAAACACCGATAATTTGTGTCTCCCACGAGCCCTTGTCATCGCCATGGCCCATTTGAACAAAGACAAAGATTATAGCAGAATCCGCCTCGATCGAGGAAAAATACAAGGACAAAGAGCTGTACAACTTGTGGAAAGGCTGATATTGTTATCCCTGAGGAGGGGTGTGGAATACCTGAACTTCAAAAGCTACAACGATATCTGCAAAACTACAAAATTGTTGTATACAAGTTTGGGTGCAAAGGTCGTGACGTCATTTTTGAAGGCGTGTCCACTGGTCCGACGCTTAACCTAATCTATCACGAGGGGCACTACAGCGTCATAACATCCCTCACTGCTGCTTTTTGCTGCAGCTATTTTTGTGAGAACTGCCACATTCCGTATAATAATAAACAAATTCATAGATGTGATAAACAATGTTATGCTTGTAAAAGATCTCCGGCCTGCCTGAAAACGAAGCACATCGAATGCAAAGAATGTAATAGAAGCTTTTATGGACAAGAATGTTTTAACGCTCATTTACCATCGGTCTGTTCTAAAATTAAAAGATGTGTAGACTGTTTTAAAGTTCACAACGGTAATGATCACATCTGCGGACATATACTTTGTAAAACATGTTATAAAAATCAACCAATTGAACATATGTGCTATATACAGCCTGACAGAAGAATTCCAAAATCAAATGATGTCTTATTAATATTTTACGATTTGGAAACCCGTCAGGAGAAGGAATTACCCAACGGATCTTTACTTCATGAGCCAAATCTATGTGTATTCAAACAATGTTGTGAATCATGTACCGATAATCCTATATGCAAGAAATGTGGCCTTCGATTACAGATTCTTCGATGTCAAGACGTCATTTCTCCATTTATGCATCATATTCTGACACTTCGTAAAAAATTCAAGAAAGTCATTGTACTGGCGCATAATGGTGGAGGATTTGATCATCAGTTTCTACTTCGTTACATTTTAGAGAAGACTAGTCTGTACCCAAATGTAATTATGAGAGGAACAAAATTAATATTGATGGAGGTAGGAAATGTAAAATTTCTGGATTCTCTCAATTATTTTCCTATGCCTCTAACTGCTCTACCCAAGGCGTTTGATTTGAAAGAGCTAAAGAAAGGATACTTTCCACATCTATTCAACACTTTGGCTCATCAGAATTATCTAGGGCCAATTCCAGCGCTCGACTTCTACGATCCCGACCATTTAAAAGAAGACACTCGGGAAAAATTATTAAAATGGCATGGCGAAAGAGAAGCGGAGGGATACGTTTTTGATTTTCAGAAAGAAATCGTTGAATACTGTATCTCCGATGTGGAAATATTGACACAGGCGTGTCTCAAATTTCGAGACCTGATGAAAACCGAAACCACAGTCGATCCCTTCCAGGAAAGCACCACTATTGCATCATGCTGTAACAAAGTCTTTAGACGCAATTTTTTAAAACCTGAGACGATCGGGGTAATTCCAAAAGGGGGCTATAGATGGCGTGAAAATCAGTCAAAAATTGCCATCCAATGGATGTTGTGGGAGGAACATCAAAGAGGAATCAAAATTCAACACGCCGCTAAGGGTATAGAAACCATTGTTAAGGGACATAAAGTAGACGGTTTTTGTAGCGACACAAATCAAGTGTTTGAATTCCAAGGATGCTATTTTCACGGTTGCCCTCGATGTTTCAAATACAACAGAAGCAATCCTCTGCATAATGATCCGTTGAATACATTGGAAAGTCGATACGAACAATCAGTTAGCAAAGTAGAGAGACTCCGAAGCCTTGGACTAGAAGTAATTGAGATATGGGAATGTCAATTTCGAGGAATGCTAAACGATGAAATTAGAGCCTTCACAGAAGCACATCCATTGATAATCAATTTACCGATTAACCCCAGAGACGCTCTCTACGGGGGACGTACAGAAAATATCGTTGAATACTACAAGATCAAAACAAATGAATGCATAAAATATGTCGATATATGTTCCCTGTACCCCTTCATCTGTAAATATGGAAAATTTCCGGTGGGTCATCCAAAAAAATTTACGTAGGTGAAGAATGTGTTACAGCCTCTCTGTCGCAGATGTCAGGACTTATTAAATGCCAGATTCTACCGAACCAGAACTTATATCACCCCGTTTTACCGTCAAAAATGAACAACAAATTGATGTTTGTTAACTGTCAAAAATGTGGTGAAGATTTCGTTCGAGAAGAGTGTCAGCATTCTATTCAAGAAAGAAGCCTAAAAGGAACTTGGGTGATAGAAGAGGTGCTCAAAGCTATTGAAAAAGGTTACCAGATTATAGAGACTTACGAAATATGGGAATACGATACAATTCAGCTCAGTAAAGACCAAGAGGGGTTATTTAGCGGAATGATGAACAAGTTTCTACAAATAAAACAACAAGCTTCAGGATGGCCCAAACATTGCTTAACGGATGAAGAAAAAAACCGTTATATTGATGCATTTTTGGATACAGAGGACATAAAGCTGGAATTTTCAAAAATTATAGAGAACCCCTGTTTGAGATCGTTAGCTAAACTTATGCTGAATTCTTTTTGGGGTAAATTTGCTCAAAAAGAAAACCAAAACAAAACCTCAATAGTCAGAGACTGTGGTGAATTCTTTGATATGCTGACTAATCCTTCTATTCATGTAAATACAGTTCTCCCGGTAAACGAAGAAACCCTTCTCGTAACTTGGGAATTTAGAGAAGAGGCGTATGACGTTTCTTCAACGGTTAACGTTGTATTGGCTTCATACGTCACGGCCCTAGCTAGACTAAAATTATATTCATTCTTGGAGAAAGTGGAAGAAAGGGCAGTTTACGTAGATACAGATTCATGTATTTATATCTCTCGTAAGGGATTAGACGACATATCTACAGGCGACTTCATAGGTGATATGACCGATGAGCTCAATGGGGGTTTCATATCAGAGTTTGTTTCTGGAGGACCTAAGAACTACGCCTACAAATATACTACTTTGTCTGGAGAGGAACAGATCGTATGTAAAGTAAAAGGCATATCACTCAACTACAAGGCATCCCAAGTGGTCAATTTTGAGAAAATAAAAGACATGGTGCTGAAGAAATCTGATCCTGTTTCTGTACTTTCTCGACAGCTACGACGTACAAGAGAGCATGCAGTAGTAACAGTCGAGTTTCCTAAGCTATACAAGATAACTTCAATGAAAAGGAAATTCTATGAAGATCATACCTCTGTACCATTTGGATTTAAGAAAATAAAATATTGATTTATTAATGTATGTAAATATTTTTTAATAAACATGTAAAATAAAATGTATGCAAATGATTTTTTGTTTTTTATTTCCCGCCTAATTGAAAAATATTTTTGCACCCGAAATTGTTCAGCCTTTTTACTCCATATAAAAATATTTAAAAGTATGCATTGTTATTATTAAACGCCTGCAGTAATATACACCAAAAAAATTGAGAAGCAGTGTAACCATGTAGAACTTTGTATAATCACAAAAAAACATATCTTGGAAAATAAAAAATACAGCAGATTCATAAGCAGTGTAGAGAGGAAACTACGTAAAAGTAATCGATTATTACTAATAAAATAGAGTTTTGAATTCCTATTTTTACAATAATAATCATTTTACTATCTTACGTGTTGGGCACTGCACTGCACGGGTACCAACACTGTACTGCACGGGCACGAAAAATTGAGAAGCATGATAACCATGTAGAACTTCGTATCACTACGTAAATGGTTATTACGAAAAGTAGAAATAAAAACTCTATTTTCGATAATAGCTATACTATTTTTTATGAGCACCGAAAAAATTGAGAAGCACGATAACCTCATAGAACTTCGAAACAGCACCAGAGACAACCGAAGGCTACAGAAAAAAAACACATACTGAAAAGGCATAACATCTATCAGCGCTGGTATCCGATAATACTGTTTCCTTTGACATTCGTTGGGATATGAAAACACATATTTGCTTCCCACCGTTATAACGGAAATAATAGTTACTGCAAAAGCAGTTTCACAATAAGACCATACATTAATCTACAAAGTTGATAATAAAACATATGTACTATTAAAATGCAGATATTTTTAAAATTATACAATTAAAAAATCAAAATAATATATTATAAATGGTAGGGGATACAGGGTAAACACCGAAATATACTTAATTTAGAATAGTTACCTATAATCTCCTCAGTTCTTTGGTCAGCCGTATCGACAATTTACCGGTGGGTCCTCTATTTTTGTGCATGTAAAAGGTTAGACTATGGCGCTAGCAAAAAAAAAACAAAATGCAACAAAGTAGAGTCACTTAATATTCTTGTTGAAGTTACGGATAGAATATGGTAGAAAGTAACAATCAGATATTGTAGAAGCCATGTAATTGTTTAATTGTTGAGGAAAAAGTATTTTTCATACGCTGACCATGTTTATGTCCGCTTGGTACGCGACCAGATTTTTTCCAAACCTTTGCCCGTAGGGTTCATGAGCCGACGACCAAATGTGTCGTCGAAGGGGCATTTTTGGCCAAATTCGGTCGAAACCGATGCTGCGTTCGTACCCTAGAGCCTACGAACAGCGACTCAAACTTAATTTTAATTGATTTGCAAAGATCTTGCTAGAATACTTGAGCTAGTGATTATATGCAATTTATCGGTGACGAGCTTTCCTCTAGCATATCTTGATTTATTCAAGCGAATCAATGAGAAACTAGTGAATAAAATTACCTGACAGCCATAGTACAAGTTGGTATATCTACACCTTCTCTTACATTTGGCGCCACTAAAATGTTAATCTCCTTGTTTCTAAAAAACGATCAAGTACTTATCTGTTCTTCTTATTAATCGGAAGTGATTCTACGGTGCTATTAAAAGAGTTTCCGTTATATCCCACAACGAAATCCGGCTTTATATGTCTGAACTCTGGTACATGTTCACTCAAATCTTTCAGTACATGGTGCAATATTTTTGGCAGTTGATCTTTCCTTCGTGAATATTAAACCACAAATGTCTTCGTTTGAAGATGAACTGTTGAAAAGTGTTACGTTTATATTAGTATTAATATTTATGACATTTACTTTTTTTAAAATAGTTAAATACTACGATAAACTGGGAATGTGGGATGAAGCAGAAATGTTTCTGTAACCCAATTTAGGTATGTATAGCAAGTCTTACGCAAGACAATAATAAAAACAGATAGAATTTGAGGGCGATTCTTGGAAGAAAAATTCATAGTATTTCTAAGGCAACACCGACCGGAGTGCTATAATTTTAGCATACATTTACAGGTTATAGGTCTAATGATAAATAGAAAGTGATTAAAATTTTAACTTCAATTTTCGTAAAATAGCTGAGATATGCCATCTTGCAGTAGCCTGGAATGAAATACCCGACAGGTTACCCATCACCTGATAGTCTGTGGTTCTCGCCGCTAGATGACGCTACATACAAACGTCATCTGTCAAACGTTATGTGTATCATTGATAAGTGTGAGTTGTGTCTCTAAGCGCTAGATGGTGTCGATGTCGCACTGGTGTCGTAGAGTGACCCACATACAGGGGTCGATAGAAATTTTTGGGGCCCTACCGACGGGTCGATGAACCGACGGTATAACGTCAGATCGAAATAAGCTCCATTCACATGGGAGGTGTGTGTGGAACTGCTCGTGGGAGACACGGACCTTGTCGTATCTAGCAAGACGTGTCCTAAAATGGTGATACCCATTGGTCGCTCAGCCATACAGGTCGGTCAGACAGAAGTTTTTGGGACCCGGGTGCTCTGATTGGTGGATCAGACGGCGGGAAATTTGAACGGTGTTGATGGTATAGTTGAATGGTGGACGGCGGGGTTGGGTGCGTTGGTAATCACCTATGTCGCAAATGAGGTTAGGTAGATAGTCGTTCAGTGAAGGTGTTGTCGTAGTGGTGATATGCAAGAAGTACTGCGCGCGGGGGTGTCAACGAGTTAATATTGGCCAACGATAACAGCGGTGACCGTGGAACACTGTTGTCACACGGTTGCAAAAGATGATAGGTTATCTCTTAATTTTCGTAAACAACGATTTTTCTAAAGTGGTAAAAACAGGTCGAAATTTTAAATACCTATGAATCACCGCAAATTATCTTGTCAGTTATCTGCTGCGAACAAAACATGCTCAGCTCAGACTTATCTAAAAAGTGGTGGGAAAATCGATATTATAAAAATATTTATGAATCACCGCAAATTCTCTTAGACGTGCTCTTATCAGTTCAGACTTAGTTAAAACTGGTGGGTAAAATCGAGATTATAAATACCTATGAATCACCGCAAATTACCTTGTCAGTTATCTGCAGTGAACAGACGTGCTCAGTTCAGACTTAGCAATTCCCAACGCTCCTCCGTGGCCATTCCCCTTACCCTCTCGCGAGTGCGCGCATGCGCATGCGGCTCGTTCTGGTCTATAGACATATGATCGCTAATGATCTTGAACAAAGATGTCCTGATACCCGAACCGCCAGAGGTACATCAGAAGTAATGTTAGTATTGTGTGTGCGCGTTTTTTGAACACGCTAAGTCGTGATGTACATCACGTGACGTACGTCACGTGACGTACGTGACGTGCGTGTGACAGGTGACGTGCGTCACGTGACACGTAACGCACGTGGCACGTGACGTGCGTCACGTGACACTTGACGCACGTGGCGTACGTCACGTGACACGTGACGTGCACACTTTGTTCAAAAATACCAAAAAGCTGTCTTGATAGCCCGAACCGCCAGAGGTACAACATCAGAAGTAATGTTAGTGCGTGGTTGAGGTTCAAAAACTTAGCGTGTTCAAAAAAAAAACGTACCTAGACCAAAAGTCATTCTAGACCAGTCACTCTAGACCAAAGCACAAAAAAAACGCCGTTTTTCAACGCCTTTTTTGTCACCATTCCCCTTAGTAGCGCGCATGCGCATGGGGCTCGTTCTGCTGGTGCTGGCGCGGGCGTACATAGCGTTTGTGGTAAGGGTTTGGGGTAGGTCTTGTTCTCTTATCGCGCACGAGTAAGTTTGTTTGTTGTGTACCATGGGATAGTGGTAAGAGAACAAGACCTACCCCAAACCCTTACCACAAACGCTATGTACGCCCGCGCCAGCACCAGCAGAACGAGCCCCATGCGCATGCGCGCTACTAAGGGGAATGGTGACAAAAAAGGCGTTGAAAAACGGCGTTTTTTTTGTGCTTTGGTCTAGAGTGACTGGTCTAGAATGACTTTTGGTCTAGGTACGTTTTTTTTTTTGAACACGCTAAGTTTTTGAACCTCAACCACGCACTAACATTACTTCTGATGTTGTACCTCTGGCGGTTCGGGCTATCAAGACAGCTTTTTGGTATTTTTGAACAAAGTGTGCACGTCACGTGTCACGTGACGTACGCCACGTGCGTCAAGTGTCACGTGACGCACGTCACGTGCCACGTGCGTTACGTGTCACGTGACGCACGTCACCTGTCACACGCACGTCACGTACGTCACGTGACGTACGTCACGTGATGTACATCACGACTTAGCGTGTTCAAAAAACGCGCACACACAATACTAACATTACTTCTGATGTACCTCTGGCGGTTCGGGTATCAGGACATCTTTGTTCAAGATCATTAGCGATCATATGTCTATAGACCAGAACGAGCCGCATGCGCATGCGCGCACTCGCGAGAGGGTAAGGGGAATGGCCACGGAGGAGCGTTGGGAATTGCTAAGTCTGAACTGAGCACGTCTGTTCACTGCAGATAACTGACAAGGTAATTTGCGGTGATTCATAGGTATTTATAATCTCGATTTTACCCACCAGTTTTAACTAAGTCTGAACTGATAAGAGCACGTCTAAGAGAATTTGCGGTGATTCATAAATATTTTTATAATATCGATTTTCCCACCACTTTTTAGATAAGTCTGAGCTGAGCATGTTTTGTTCGCAGCAGATAACTGACAAGATAATTTGCGGTGATTCATAGGTATTTAAAATTTCGACCTGTTTTTACCACTTTAGAA